GGGTCCTGCACCCACTCCCAGCCTCCCTGCAGGGCACACCACTCAGTGGTAGCCACTGCCCCTCTCTATTTTCTGGCCCTGCTGGCCAGGATGGGGAGGAGGAGATGATGATGTAGTGATGGCCCCTCTCCCCAGTCTGGGCAAATGAAGGACTCTGTTCTCATCACACCAGCTCCAGGTGAGGCATGCCCTTTGACAAGCCAGTGAATTTGCTCCATTTGCAGCATCCTTCAGCCCTCTGAATCCTGTCTCCTACTACATCCCCTTTGCTGGGAGCTTTGGCTACCTGAGTCCTGCTGGGGGGCTTTACCTAGAACTCTTTGGGGTGTTCGTCTCAGCCCATGTTCCCCTATCTGTTCTCCTGCAGCCCCAGCTGAAGGTGGACCCAAAGCCAGACCCCTCCTTGCCCACAGTGGCTCCCGGTTGGGTTAGGTAGCTAGCAGGGGGAGGGGCTTTATCTCCTTTGCACCCCACTTTTAATCTGAGAACAGCTGTCAAGTTTCAGCTATTCTTAGTCCCTGGGGCCAGCCTGAGCTCTGCTCCAGTTTGATTTGTAGGTGTGGCTCAAACACAGGATGCAGAGTGCAGACTGCAGAGTTCAGGACCAAAGGGGGCATGCCCTGTGCCTGCATGTGCTTTTAGCAGCCCACTCCCAGGGTTCCTGGGGGCTACTAATGTGTGTCTGTCCCTGGTCAGCATGGAGAGGAGGTTGTGCCATTCACACTACACCTGGGGAGGTTCTACTGGAGAGGATTTGTAGGCTGCTTTTATTAACACATGCTAAATCATACTGGTGGTATGAGGTGGGATGTCTCACCACCCTGGCCAGTCTCCAGGGCATCAGCAGGGTCCCCACCAGCTGGACCCAGCTTTGAATAAAAGGACCATGCTCTGTCTTGCCTCATGCCTCTTTGTGGTCATTGTGTTGGATGGAGCTGTGCTGGGAAGTTACCAAAGAGCAGACTGGGGTGCCCACATGCCATAGGGGACCCCTAAGGAAGTATGGTCCCCAACAGTGGCCCAGCTGTGGTTACAAAGGCCTGGACATGGAGGAGAGAGAAGGGCTCTCTCTTCCACCTCCCATCTGGGACTGACTCCCCACCCCACCCCACGGCAGGATATCAGAGCACCTCCAGGGCAGTGGGGAACTGCACCATGCCCCTCAACCACCGAGCAGGGCTGATCTCAAGGGCCACTCCCAAGGAGCATGTGCCACTTCTGGCCCCATCAAGAGGAAATAGAAATCCTAGCCCCAAGGGACAGACCCTACAGTGACACCAGTGTCTGGAACAGGCTGGGCAACAGGACATTCCTGCATGGTTCCGAGCACCTCCAGGGCAGTGGGGAACTGCACCATGCCCCTCAACCACCGAGCAGGGCTGATCTCAAGGGCCACTCCCAAGGAGCATGTGCCACTTCTGGCCCCATCAAGAGGAAATAGAAATCCTAGCCCCAAGGGACAGACCCTACAGTGACACCAGTGTCTGGAACAGGCTGGGCAACAGGACATTCCTGCATGGTTCCCTCGCTGTTTCATTCCAGGAATATCTGGAGCCAGTTAGCTCTGGGCCCTTCCCCTTGTGCCCAACACAGCCCTGACCACCCAGCTGCACAGACCCCCTCAAGCACCAGCAAAACCCAGCCCCAACCATTTCTCCCCCCCACCCCAACAATAGAACCCAGGTGTCCTGATAACCCCCAGTCTCCCCCCTGCTGCAATAGCCAGAACCCAGGGCAGTAGGAATGGGAACATTGCAGCAGGGTGCCCAGGACTGGCTTTGGGTGAAGGGCCCAGATCACCCCCACAACAGGCAAGAACAGAAATGGGAGCCCTTGCCCATCCCAGCCAGAATCCTGGCAGATCCCTGGCCCATTCCCATCAGCTGATCAGCCCCTCCCTGCACCATGACTCAGGCTTGGCTGTGTAAGAAAAGGGTGTGTGTCTAGGACTTTGTGCCTCTCCTGGGAGTGAGGGGGGAGGGAAGAGAGAATCCAAGGGCAGGGCTCTCCCAGGCTTCCCCCTGCCCCACCTGGGGGAAGCTGCAGCCAAGGTGCAGTAACTCCTCCCCCAGCCAGGGAGAGAACCCAGAAGTTCTGGGTCCCAGCCCCCACTCTATCCCAACAGCCCTCCCATGTCCCTCCCAGAGCTGGGCAGACCACCCATAAGTTCAAAGGCCCCCACTCTGCGAGCAGACACTAGACAGACATCTCTTTAGAATTATTCAAATTTCCTTTTTATTTCTCTGGTTGCAATATAGTTTTTTTTCCCATACCCCACCCTCCTCCCCCCAAAAAACCCTACAACTGTTTGTTTTGTTTTTTAAAACCAGAAAAAAAAATTTGGCAGCAACAAAGAGGTTTTGTGATAGAAAAAGTGGCCGAGTGGGGATGGGAAAGCGAGGAATGGGTGGCGATCCAGGCCTGGGGCAGGTGTGCCCCTGCAGGGGGCGGGGCCCGGGTGGTCCCAGCCAGCATGGGCTTCAGTAGTACCGCAGGGGAGAGGCGGGCAGGCATCAATACTGCGAGCGTCTCAAGTGACTGGCCATCTCGAAGCATTTCTTGTTCACACCACCTCCATGAACCCCCTCTTTGCCCATGACCAGCACTATTGCTGCAGGAGCAGAGGAAAAAAAAAAAAGTAGTTAGGAGCCAGGCCACCCTCCTAGACTAGCTGCAGGACCCTCCTGCTGTAACCCACCAGCTCCCACTCTCCTCCCAGAACTGGGGAAAGAACCCAGGAGTCCTGCTGCCTCCCTCCTTTGCAGCTGTTCACAAAGGCTGGCTAATCAACCGTTTTTCCCTGGTTAAGCAGCTGGATCTGGGGACAGCTGTTGTGGGCCCCACCATGGGGGAGGGAGGGGGGTCCAGGGATCTGGCTGCCCAAGCAACAGCTGCTGGCTTCAAGATTGGGGGGAAGGGAGGGCTGGACAGGCAGTCCCAGCTGCAAGAGATAAGGAGGCTGGGCTTCCCCTTCAAGGAGTGGATTAGAGAACCCAGGAGTCCAGGCTCCTAGCCCTCCCTGCTCTAGTCCACCACCCCCCACACTCCCCTCCCCAGCCAGCAGACCCTAGTTTGCAATTGCTAGCACCCCCCTGGGGGAAGGAAGAGGACACAGGTGTTCAGCACTCACTCTTGTTGGTCATGCAGACTGCGATGTTGTAGGTGGGGGACGTCCCATCCAAGCTCTTGGTCCGCAGATCCATAGTGAATTCGCCTTCCACATGCAAGCTGTCCCGGAGCACCGAGCACTTCTGGCCCCCCAGCGTAAGCCCATTGACGAACAAACTACTGCGGTCCTTGGCCACCAGCACGTTCACCTCTGCCGGCTAGGGGTGGGGGGTAAGGAGGAGAGAGCTTAGGGGTCATGCTGCACAAGCTAGGGGAACCCTGCCTCCAAAAGCCCTGTGGCCTGCTGCCACGGAGAGTCCTGGCTCTCAGCCCCCTCCTCCTGTCTGACCCTCCCAGAGCTGGGCAGAACCTCAGAGTTCTCAGATCAGCTGTTAAGTCTAACAAGCCCCATTTCTATTATCTGCCAGAAGCCAGGGTGTAGGGGAGGAGAGTTCTCCCTTCAGGGTGCAATCCTGCCATGCCTGCAGCAGTGGGAGGCATGCCCTGAATTCATACCCCAAACCTCCCCCTGACCCAAGTTAAGGCAGTCTCCTCCCCCTCATACTGCCTTGGGGAAGGAAGCCCACCTCCACACAGAGGGACAGCAAATGCAGCACTGAGGATACTGTTAAGTTTTCATAGCACCCCCCAGCCCCAGCTGAATCAGTGATGGGGTATCTTGGGACAGGTCTCCCAATTCCACCCTCTTCCTCTAGGGGGCAGCTGAGCTGAGCTGTCTTAGCTCCACCCCCATGCATTCCCCCATCTTAGAGCTTCCTGTATGGGCAGACACCGCTCTCCCCAGCTCCTCCCACCTGCAGGGCAGGCGCCTCCCCCCGCCCCCCACCTTCCACATTCTCAGCTTATTTCATCTATAGCCTCTTGGCCCCTCTCTCCCAGTTAACACCTCCACCCCACTAATGCGCATCTTCCCCCCTCCCCCCATCGGTTTCCACCCTACAATGGGGGCTTTAAGATTCTAACCCTCTTCCTCCCCCTTCTTCCAACCTCCATCCTAAACCCAGCGCCAGGTGAGAGGCCCCAACCAGGAGAGATTTTAAAGACAGTGGGACAGGATAAGGTGGGGTTTTAGAAGGGAGGGTTGCTGAGCACAGGAATGAGGGGTGTCATTTCATGTCCCATTAGATGTGGGGCAGGGACAGACACCCCGCACACTAGGACAGGGTCCAGAGCATAACCCCCACCCTCCCCAGATCCAGGGAGAGAACCCAGGAGTCCTGGCTTCCAGCCTTCCCTCCTCTAATCCACCAGCCCTCACTCACCTCCCAGAGCCAGGGAGAGAACCCAGAAATCCTGGGAGACAAGATATTAAGGAGGGGATCCCCATGGATGTTATGGGCATGGTATTCCCCCTCAGGTGACCTGGATATGCCAGAATCTGCCTCGCTAAGGTCCTGTGAGTGTCCCTCCCGGACAGCACTAGAAAAAGAGGGGGCCCAGATGGGCCCCAGCACATGAGCAGTTCATCCCTGACCCATTCTAGGGGAGAGTAGAGACTGCTGGTCCTGGCAGCAATGAGGGGAAGGGAGAAGTGTTCCAGATCTCTGCTCCCCATGTTCACCCATCTAAAAGCAGCAGCCAGGGCAGGGGGGGCGGGGGTATGCTGACACACTTGTACAACTGCAGGAGCGGGACAGGGATGGGTCTGTACCAGCTCTGTGCTGACTCATACCCAAGTCACTTTGGATCAGAGCCGCTCCTGTAAAGGACCTGAAGTAGGCATGTAAAGTCCCAATTACCTGGTGTAAGGTAAAGTTAACCATTTAACCGAGATCCCTTAACTGGTAAGCATCACCCTTACCAGATAATGGTGAGGTAAAGGTGAAGCTTACCTGTTAACCAGTTACATCCCTAGCCTGGAATAAACACATACACTCTCATCTGGAATCCAACAGGATCCTAGTTGGTTTCCCATCCTCTTTCTGGCCAGGACAGCTGGACAAGATGGCAGGAGACTCTAAACACCCTTACTGTTTTCCAGACAGGAAGGGAGAGGAATCAGCCTTAGACACTAGCTAGGAAGGCATTTGAAGCGGGAAAATATTTTGTACTCTCAGCCAAAAAGTTTCCACAAGAAGGGAGAAAAAGTTAGGCCCTGAACTGGGAGCAGAGGCAGGGGATTTGTTTTTTTTTAAAACACAGAAATGGGAAGCAGAGGCTGAACTGAACTTGTTTTTGCAAGCAGGGAGGAGGGGAACAGGAAAAAAGGGAGATCTGGAAAGATTAGAAGAGAGACAGATTCAGGCCCGCAGCAGCAGCAGGCAAAGACGTGGCAGTGAAAGGAAAAGATTAAATACAGACAGACGGTAAACTTGCTTCCCGCCTCCACCCTTTTTATTAACCCAGCAGAGGGGGTAGCTGGCTTTCTGAGAAGTTTACAAGAGTTTCTTCTCTGCTAGCGGGGAGAGAAGGGAATTTTTTTGCACAAGAATTCCTGATTCAAGACAGCAACTGCTGAGCCCCAGCACTCAAGTCTGGCAGCCTCCCCCTCTCCCCCCAACTCTATATCTGCAACCTGATGCTGCAGTTTGCAATTCATGCAGGTTGAAAGTGCACAAGAGGGGGGCTTCTGAGGGATGCAACATGAAGTTAGACTTTTAAAACTCTGCCACAAGGATGGAGGCCAGCTGCAGCTGGCTCTGTGGTGAGGCAGCTCCTCTTACAGGGATCTTTGGCCCTGAGATACAGCCATCTCTGGGGCACGGCAGCCATGAAAGCACCATAAAGAACCAGGAAATCGGATTTCCAATGCAGTAAAAAAATAAAGCTAAAAACTTGCATGTCTAGGCTAGCAGATGAACTGTGTTTTCATCCCTGTCTCAGAGGGTGGGATAAGACTCATCAGGGAATTCTGACACTTTGGAGCCAGTTTGCCTTGCACAGGCAGGGACAGATATAGGCCTCATGTCCTCCCCCCGCCTCCCTTCCGTCTCTTCTTGAGTCATTTCCTCCTGGTAGCTGCCTGGGCCCTGTAGTCAGCAGCAGGGTGGGGCTGGCCGCAAAGCCTGCAAGAAGGTGCTAGCTAGGCCCTATTCACACCCACTGGGAGGGATGGAGTCTGAGAGCCCCCAGGGGTCCTTCTTGGCCCTTATTTGCAAAGCAGCCTTGGAAGGAACTGGAAGCTGGGGGGGAACCAAGGTCCCCCCCATGCTGTGAGGCTTTTCAAGAGGAAGTGGCTTTTTCTTTCTTTCCACAAAGAAAGGGGTGCTGGTAGTGAGAAAGGGAGGCTACTGCAGAGAAGGAAGTCGTGGGGGTTGCTGTTCGCTGCTAACTGTGGGTTATTTCCTCCCCTAAAGACTTTGCAAACTTTTTTTGCAGCCACAGGGTCTCCCCCACTCTCCATGTGCGTCCATCACCCTGTCCCTCCAGTTCCTCTTTTTCACCCTGGCGATCTAACACCTCCCCCCGACTCCAAGCACCCCATTTCACCCAGATACACTCGGGCCTATTTGTGCACTACACCCCACAAGGGCCTGATCCCTCCTGCGGATCTCCCTCTCTCAAGTGCACCCACATCTACTTACACAAACACTCCCTACTTTCCCTCCGCCCTCTTTAGCAATGTCCCCGTTATCCCCTTCTGCTATATACACCCCCTGCCCTCCATGCACTTCCGGCCTCCCCTCTTTGGAATCCAGGCTCCCTGCCCCCTTTCCTATACCCCCTGCACAAACTCTTCTGCAAGGGACCCCTACTTTCTAATGATACCCCCAGTCATTCCCCAGCCGCCTCCTCTTTGCAATGCAGCCCTCCCAAGCACTTCCTGCCTCCCCTCTCTTTCAGTGCACCCTCCCGGGGTCCCCTCTTTTGCCACGCACCCCACTTTCCCAATGCAGCCCTCCCAGGCACTTGCCTCCCCTCTTTGGAATCCGGGCCCCTCTTTTGCAATGCGCCTCGCCATCTCCCCTGCCTTTGCAAGGCACCCCTCTCCCCCGCCAGGGCCTCACCGTGATGTTGGCCAGCGTCTTGCCCGGAGTGGCGGCCCACACGGACGGGGTGTCCTTGTAGCCCACGATGGCCGCATCCTGGCAGGTGCCGTCCGCTATGAGGTTGTCGATGTAGGAGGACCA